AGGCCTAGATACTTGCTCAAAGGCTGCCAAAGTCACTTTCTATAATCTAAATTTAAATTATAATTATTTGTAAATAAATAAGGGGACGTGATTAGCCAAACTTCAATGGCATTTAAAATTTAAAGTTAACTTTACTTGTATTTCCACAAATCCCTAATTAGTAAGAGTCCTGTGTTAAATGATTGTTAAACATATTTGCTTGACATTTGAAAAAATTGTTTTTGTAATAAAATGTAAAAAATGAAGGAAAAGTAAAAGTTGAAAATGTTTTAATGTTGATTTGATTTTCATTTCAGTTTTTGTAACATACAAAAATCAAAATCCTTATTATCATGATAAGTGTTAATGCTAACCCCACACAGATTGTAATTTGGACAGAAAATTGCTTTATTCTTCTTCTTCAAGTTAGAGAAATTTTAACAATATTATTCTAACAAAAATCTTATTGCCATAACAAATGTGCCTATAAATGGAAACCATGTCTCTACAATATATATATAGATAATATTAGTGGTAAATATACACATACATATGCAAAATATATAGATATATATATACATAGGTGCATACACATATATGTATATTTTTTGAATAAAAAATTCTGAGAGGATAGAATCCAGATAGAACTCAATGTTCAGGACAGAGTAAGGATATAATAAAAGGCTTAAACACTAATATTAGTGTTTAAGCTTTTTTATTTTATATATATATATATATATATATATATATATATAATGGACTCTCCCGTCGGTTTCGACATATAAGGATTTGCCAGCTTATTGATTCAGTTATGAAAGATTATGCAATAATCTTAAGTGGCATTTAAGACCTGCTAGTGATTTACAAGGAGGTCACATATGGAGCAGGTGAGAGAATTGTATTATATATATATATATATATATATATATATATATATATATATATATATATATATATAAAGTAGCACACATTGAATGATAATAAAACAATGTTTAATGCAAAACAAGTGAGTTAAAATAAATTTATACTAATAATAAATATACATTTTGTTCCTTACAACTCTTAAGGTAAAGAACAAAATGTATATTTATTATTAGAATAAATATATGTATGTATGTATGTGTGTGTGTGTGTGTGTGTGTGTGTGTGTGCCTGTAAATGAAATATAAAGCTCTTTTCTGTTTTGAGTTGAATCTCATTCCAATAAGATTTTATATAAACAGAAGAATTGTCAATAAGTCAATTGTTCTTAAAGGGTAAAGACAGAAAACACTGGTATTTTCACTTATGTTGAAGAACAGAATTGAAAATACCAGTGTTTTCTGTCTTTTTGTCTGTCTCAATCTCTAATGAAGCTTTAATAAATGTGAAACATGTTAGATTGATATACGTTTCCTATTTGTTCTTTTATTTTATCATCCTGCCAGATTCCAATCCATATCTGATCAACATTTGATCTGGAACTAATATATATATATATATATATATATATATATATATATATATATATATATATATATATATATATATATATACACACATACATGGGGATGTTTTGGTTTGGTTTTACGACATATCAACCTCAATGGGTTATTTAATACTGACAAGATTTTTATTGCTGGTAATATTTTTTTTTGTCAAATGTATTGTGGGTAATTTTTTTTTCCTTCAAAAATGTATTGCTTGTAAATGTTTTTTTCAAAAAAGTATAGCTGTTAATAATTTTTTCTTCAAAAACATACTGCTGGTAATAACTTTTTTTTTACCAAGTATTTCTGGTATGAAAACCTATTTTTAAACTTTTATAGTTTTTGTACCCCATAGCTGGGACCCTAACAAGAGCTACCACCCTGGGTCAGGGCGAACCTGGGAACACTAGCAATTAAAACCTCCTGATCAGAGGCCCTGCTGTTGGACATAGTTTATTGTCTTACCCAAGATGTGGATGTAGTTTATCGTCATACCCAGGATGGATATATGGGGATGTACCTTGAATCTTATACTATTATTATGTTATATACCAAATATTTTCTCCACCATTGTTGACTTTGAATTAGTTTCAGATTTTTTTAAAATTTTCTGGCCAATCATAAAAGTCCCCTTAAAATCCAAGAGAATTAACTTTATTCATAACATGTTTTGCATTTACTGTTTATTTTCCATTTCATTTTTCAATTTGTTGTTGCAAAGACCTCCTCTTGATTTTCTAACATCATTAGGCTACAGATTTTACTACAATTATAGATACTAACAACCAATCATATTTAATCTTTACCCAAACAAACATTTTTTTGTTGTCTATCTTAAATTGTCTATTGCATTAGAATCTCCCACCATCTGTGTGTGTGTGTGTGTGCATGCATGCAACTTAAAAGAAATCAATCAAAATTATCTATTGTCCACAAGTGATAATAAAATCATCAGTAGTACAAAGTGCAAAGCAAAATGGTAAAGAAAAAAGTATTTATTATTTCACACAACAAATAGAGTTTTCAACATAATCCCCTTCCATTAAGTGAACATTTCATTTCAAAATTCAGCTACAGGTTAATTGATCTTCCTTCATATACTAAGAAAAATTGTTTTATACAACTTCCCACTAAACATTTCATAGCTAATCAGTGTTCATCTATCTAAATGTGTTATTCAATCTTATCAACTTGTAAAATATGAGATTTGGACTAAAATCATATCAAGTTGTTCTTCAGCCCCAACTTGGAGATATTAAACTGACCAATTCTTTGATATTTACATCCATTCTTAGCCCATTTCTAAGCATCAGGCCTCCTAAGGAATTCATTATGATCTTGCTTATCAAGTAATAACAAATTGTCACTTACCATGACCATTAAATTTTCATAAACGTACAGAAATTCTAATTGTTGCCACAATAAATCTTTGTTATGACTTCATTAATATATTCACATTCATCTGACACCTTCTCACATGAGAGATTTTGATGAATTTCATGTAAAGAAATTCAATTAGCACTTTCACTTATTTATCACTAAAACATTGAAAATCAGTTCTTAGTTAATAAACCTTTGAAATGTGCCCAACAAAATTAGTGCCAAATAATATATTACACTTTTCAAACTGTAAACCAAAATCAAAGAGACAATATTATAGGTTTACCAAGCTCTACATCTGCATCAGCTACAATTCAACTGACAAGAAAGAGAAAAAAACTCTTTATTTTTAACTAAATTATGACAAAAAGTTTTTTTTCTTACTTTTATGATAACATGGCACAATTAAAATATCAATATTCCTGTCATTTGATCAATCAGAAGAGATGTCAACTGATAGCTTTTCATATCCTTCTTTCAGACTATCTCCAAACTAAGACATACACACACACACATATATATATATATATATATTAAAAAGAAGATGAACTGCAAATATTTTTGATTGAAATGTGGATTTTTTATTTTAAAATATATATTATACTCTACTTTCCATAATTCTGCTACACGGATTTCTGGCTCCGCAACCTTCTTCATGCAAAGAGTAGATATTTCCACATATTATAAAAATGAATTCTTTGCATGGTTGGAATTCAAATGTCTCATGACCGTGCAAAGAATTCATTTTTATATGTGGAAATACCTACTGTGTGTGGAGAAGGACACAAAACCAGAAACACATGTAGCAGAATTATGAAAAATAGAGTATAATATATATTTTAAAATAAAAAATCCACATTTCAACCAAAAACGTTTGCAATTTATCTTCTTTTTAAAATATACACTTTTCTCTCGCTAGAACAAATATAACCTCTTCCCTATATATATATATATATATATATATATATATAGGAAGAGGTTATATTTGTTTTAGCATATATAAAAGAGAGAGAGATTCACTTTCATGCCGAAATATTTATCTAGTGTCTCTAGATTTTTTTTTATTTTAGGGCCTCTAAGATACAAGATGTAAAGTCTGAATTATAATGTGTGTGTAAACTTTAACAAATTACTTGTCTGAAGGAGATTACAAAGACTGCTTGATAACTGACACATCATATTTTCAACACAAGACTCTAATCAGCTACAGAAATAAAGTCAGCATTGATTTGTACAAACCAACTTCAAGAACTGGATGAAGGTGAAGCTATCAACATCAAGTTAAATCTGATTACTCAATTTCAATGAATTATTTTTTTATCTTTTACTTACAAAAAAAGAAATGTTGGACAATTTTTATATCCTGCAACTTCTACTTTAGTCTTCCTCATTCAGAATATGTTAAATTTGTCAGAATACAATTTGTCTATTTCAAAGCATTGGGTTGGCCAAAACATTTGTTCACTCATTAAGCAGAAAATTTACTTAATAAACAGAGCAAAGTTTTTGGGCAACCCAATGAATATTTGAATCTAAATTACAATCCATATTAATTTCTTTCAGTGTTGGTTTTTAATATATACTTATGTATGTATTTACTGTAAGAAAATGAATCAACACTCTCCATTTTAAGACCACTTCATAAAAACAATCACCCTTTATGCAAAGAATAAACTGAATGCTTATAAGTAACACTTTTTATTCAAAAGAAAAAGTAAATTCTTTCTTAATGCTGTGATAAAGTTTTACTTATTTATTAAGGGCTTTAAATATTTAAAAGATAAAAAAAGGCGCACGCCATTCTGAAAGCAGCAATGAAAATTTAAAACCTTTTATTGACATAATTTAGAACAAAAACAAGTTTTATTCTATATTTTATAACGAATAATTACAAAACTGTCAAATGATTTATTTGTTTTCTATGGCTTATCAATCTTTTGCAGGTTATTTAAAGCCAGAAAATATTTTTAGATTGTAAGTAGGTTTCTTTTTTTTTTGGAGATAATAATGATTTAGTGATAGTCTTACTAATTAACCCAGAGGGGGAGATTCATACATCTTGCAAGGGTATTTGCTTGTAACTGAATATAATGGACCCAAGTAAAATTAGAACTCAGCTCTCCTATTAACAATTCCAAGCCCTTATCCATTACACCACCCACACATCCAAACTTACAGCACATGGTATTCCCAAGTGGTCACCCATCCAGGTACTGACCAGGCTCAATGTTGCTTAACTTCAGTGATCACATGAGAACCAATGTTTCAATGTGATATGGCCATAAACCGGAGAAATTACAGAACAACCTTTTTTTGTTTGATGAAATTAATGCAATTCTCTCATTTGCAAAAGGAACTATTGTGCAAAATATTACTTTTAATTTTATGATGACTCTTTTCTTAAAGATCAAAAATGATAAATCTCATTGACTCAAAACATTCTGCCTTAAATGTATTTTTAATAAGGTTGGAAGGTAATCTTTCATTTTATGTTAGTAAAATGAAGGTTATTCTTACTTGGCAAATTTCAAAAATATTAACTTATATGCCAAAGTTTCCAGCTTCCTCATATACATGCCTTTTTTTTTCATGCCTTTTATTTTTTCACTTTGTTAATGTAAATGATATCAGTATGCATACCAACAGCACTGAAGGCAAAGTTCTTCAGCATTAAGTGTTGAAATATACAAAATACCTCCAAAGATTTTCTAAAAAGAAGCCTAGCATGATGAAAAAGGCCCCAAACTTGATAAAAACAAAGTTTTATCATCAAAATGTTTATGTTGTTATTATTAAGATGAAAGGCCCAAGTATTTTTTCATTATTCAATTAACTTTTTTAATCCTTTCTAGCATACTATTTACATTATTCAGACTATTGTCCTCATCTTTGTCGCCATATTTATTACAACGTTTCGGTTGTTGTACACTCTGGCCTTCTTCAGGTGGTTGGAATGTGCACAGTGGATAAAGGCATTGGTTAGATCCAGTGACAGGACCCAAAGACTGGGAGTTCAATACCCGGTTAAAGCAGTGGAGAACTTGAAGAGGGCCTGTGGAACTAAAACAGTCTACTCCAGTGAGCAAAATAAAGGGTTCAGTTCAATATTCCAACCACCTGAAGAAGGCCGAAGCATACAACGGCTGAAACGTTGTAATAAATATGGCGACAAAGATGAGGACAATAGTCCAAATAATGTAAATAGTGTACATAATACCTCATCTCAGAAATGTAGACAGATACCTTTCTAGCATGTTAAAAATCTTGTTTTTCTTGCATCAGCCTGTGGGCCAGAGATTAGTATTGGAAATTTTAGCATCTTTCTTTGGCATTAAAAACACATTGTTTTGGAAATTCTTACAAAAATCAAATAATTGTCAGATTTTGATTACATTTTCAGGTCTTATTCACAAATGAATGAAACTATTTTTGAAGTTTTTCTTTGAGATTTTTTCATTATTTTTAATTTTTAATTAGAAAAATTTACTTAAATTTTTTAAAATTTTATATTAATTTCAGCCTTTTAGATGATTATATAAGTGAAAACTATATTTATTAATCATAAATGGAAAAGCTTAATCCAAATCATCAAAGACTGCTATTTTAAAAAGAATTTTGAATTTTTTTTATGTGTATGAACATCCTAATTTTTACAAGTACAGGCAACCATACACAACATTATCAGAAACTAAAAGTCATAACTATATTAAATTTAAAGCTAACATTTTTTTAAATTCAAGAAAACATTATATTACAGAGAATATTTTCCTAAATTTTTAAGATTACTTAGTAAAAATTATATTGAAAAGGTGCTCATGTCATTACAGAGAATTACATTGTGATGAAAGGCAACTAAAAAAGGGGCACTAATCAGCTACTTTAGCAAAAATCTCCTTTTAGTCAATCTAAATTAGTTTTTAAAATACAGCAAAGTATTTTGATTATTATTAATATTAAATTTAATCTACTAGCTTGAAATCAAAACTAAAATAAAAGCTTCAAGAAAGATTTTTCATTTTTAAAAATTCATTTAAAACCTTAAGTACCACGTTTTTGGTAGAGTGTTTAAATACTTGTCTCCAAGTGTCAGTTTTACATTGAATTTTTATTGACAATCTATTTAGAAATTAAATTTTGGAAAGGAGATATTTACTTGATGTAAACAATGAGAATGTTGGGAGCTTTTGTACACATCTTAATCTATATTTTACAAGTTTATTAAGGAACCACATAAAAGATTGTCAGATTTTTATAGCATGTTATATTTACACATCTTCATTTAACTTCTGAGATACATCCAGTTTTTTTATGCAGGATACATGATTTATAAAAATACAGACACAGAACACACGCGTGTAAAAGATTCGTCTGTGGCATTAACTAAAACGTAGTCAACACGAATTTTGAGAGTTTCCTGTGTATAGATAAAATGCAAAAGCAGATCCTCTAACTCTTCCATCCGCAGCAATTTAATCTAAGGGGAATAACCTATTTTGTCAAAAAATATTTGCCTCCCTTTGGGTTTTTTTTTTTTTTTTAAATCAACTGTTTCAATAATTTAATCAAAGAATATTAATAGTTACTCAATTTGCCAAACCTACAAGCATTAGTTGAAAATCGAAGATAGTTTGAAAAATTATGATTATTCGGAAGTTCAAAGAACAATTTGGTATGATTTAAAGTTATTTTAAAAAAAAAAAAAAGGAAGAAAATTATTTGCCAAAAATTCAGTTTTTAAATGTTAATAAACCAAATAAAACAATCTTTTACTGAAAAATAAATTTCAATTTTAAATTGATTTAGTAGGAAGAAAAGAATGGTACTTAAAAGTTGAATATGGTTGAAAAATGATAATTCAAATTTTGATAGACTGAATAATATTTAAATATTGTATAGATTTATCTGGACATGCTGATAACCAACTTTACAAACATAAAAAACTCATCAACAATTAATGATCGAATCTTACCTAAGAAAAAAGAAATTAAGTGTACTTACCAGATTTATCACTCAATTGCCTTGATTCTAAAGACAATACATTCACTGAATCATCTGTCAAAATGTCTAAACCTTTCAATTTAGACAACTCTTTACTTTGATCATTCAGATAACGGTCAAGTAAATTCTGTATACTTTCAGTATGAAACTGAGGTCGATGATAATCCTCAAACAATAAAGAATGTTTATCTGCCCCAAAGTTCTGTAGAAACTGTGAGAGTTCCTGGGAAGAGGACATAGAATCTTTTACAGGCCATTTACACTCAGAATCATTTCGTGGAGAAAAAGAGGTTTGACTATAATTTCTTTCTGGAGAGTCAAAAGGAATACCTGAAATGGACCAGCTTTTGATGTGGTTTGATGGTGAAATTTCTTCAGCAGGTGTGTGACAAGAGACTTCATCAGCAGGAATGGGGTTGTCAATTCTAGAAATAACCATGGAACACTCAAGTTCTTTTACCCAGTTTGGAACTTGAGGATTTTTATGAGTCGATAAATAAGAAAGATCTCTACTTGTGTTTGCTCTTTGGTCTTCCTGAGCCTCTGGACGAATTGATTTATTAAGAATTTGATGTTGGTTACTTGAATTGAGAGAAAGAGAATCCAGATTTTTAGAGGCACAAAAATCTAAGACATCAGTTTGCTTACATTGAGATGAATGATGAATATCTTTGGATTTGTTTTGATTCTTCACACTCTTAGACATGTCCCATTTGTTTGAACTTGGTATTTGAGAATTATACCTTCCAAAAACAGGAAGTATTTTCTCAGATTTTTCCAAATTACTGGTATCTTGTTTTTTATTTTCAGGTCTTTGTATAACTTTATCCTCTTGGGGAGATTTTATTACTTTTATGACAGCACATTCCTGACATGTTTTTGATTTAGGGACATTTTTCATAGGTTTTGTTGATTCCTTGCATTTCTGAGAATTAATATATTTATTAAAATTACTTTTTGATAAATTCTGCTTACACTGAGATTTATTTTTTGTTGTGTTTTCTCTGGTATTTGTACCAGAACTGGAATTCTGAGGAAACCAGTCTGACTTTGTCTTTGACTGGTTTGTTAAAGGAGTTCTCTCAGATTTGTTCAGCATTGCATTATTTGAGATTTTTCTTAACATTTTAGTTTTTACATTCTGATAATTATTGAGTTTAGAAGGTTTGACCCGAGAGTTTTTGTCACAAGAATCAATGCTCTGCCAATCAGCTTTGGTGCAAGTTAACCTTTCAACTTTCCTAAATTCAATTTGGGATGTAGTTTCCTCTTCCACAAAATCTGAACCTAACTTTTTTTTATCTTTACCAAGCTGTTTAATTTTAGAAGGTAATTCAGGTGTTTCATGAATGTGCTTATTTACGACATGAGGCTCTGGACTTTGGTAACATTTTCTAACATTTAAAGAAGAATTATTTTGAGGTGATGAGGAATTAATGGGTAGAGGAAGAGGAGTGTTTTTTATTAAAACATCTAAAGGGCTTTCAGAAATGGATTGTTTAGTTCTTTTTGAATCTTTCACAGAATAACATCCACATTTTTGACAAACTCCCTTTGGATCTCTGTTAATTAAATTCATTTTAGGTGGGTAAGGGTCAGCTGAGATGAGATACTCAGTTGTTAAACTTCCAATATCACTGACACAACATAAAGATACAGGAGATGTGCAGCCATTATGCAAGTTCTCAAGCAAAGTCGTTGTTTCTTTAATAGTTTGTTCAGCTGAAATTGAAACAAAAATGAAGAATTTGAAACTTTTCAGAAATATTTGCTATGAAAGAAAATACTTAGTTTCGAAAGCATTACATTCAATTTTATTTGTAGCACGTATTTATATGCAAGAGTAAAAATATTATTTATATACAACATAATTTATATACAAGAGTAAAAATGTTATAGAAGAGCATTAAGAATCTGCAGCCCCCAATACTTAACCAAACAAGAAAGATACATAGAAAACACTTTCAAAAGCCTCCAATATCCTTATTATTTCATCCACAATGCTAAGAGAAAAGCATACAAAATATATAACTGTAAAAACAAAAAACCAATAACAATAAACTGATAAAAAACAATATATACTACCTCCTAACCTATAACATCCACTACCCAAAACAATTTATCCAATCTAAACAACATCAAAATCCACATCCAAAACTATTATGTATATGACCATAACCAAAACACCCAAAAAATTATAATTTTGAAACAGGTATATATAAAAAAAATTGCCAGAACTGCTGCTCACAATACATTGAGGAAACTTGCAGAAATTTAAAAAAAAAT